AATAGTGTAATATGATTTTTAACAACAACAATAAAATGATTAATTAGTTATTCTATTTGTACAAAACTCTGAATTCAAATCAACAATTGTAAAGACAACCATTATAACCCATGCTTGAGGGTAATACCTGTAAATTGCTTCACAAACTTCAATCACATTGCAAGGTGTAACCATCAGGTTACAAGGTTGCCCTTAAAATTAGTCAAATAAGAACATACTTTCCATATCTTATTAAGGTCTTCAGCCATTGAATTTGGAATAATCTGACTTAAAATGTTATAATTCTTGATGCGTTCAATAGCTCTCTCAACATGTATTCTCACAGCAGCTATTTCTCTTGTTTCTGTTTCTTCTTCTGGATCCAATCTGTCTTTGCAGCGCATGAATGGAGGGATATTCAAAGAGCAGCCACGTGCCATAAGTAAATCTCGAATCTCAAAACCCCGATCAGCCATGACTGAATCGCCTTCTTCAAATTTATCAAGAATTCCAGTTGCTTCCACTATCTCCTTGTCACTTGCATGTCCACCGAACAGATCAGAAACAAAAGTAACTGCTCCATAAGGTGCAATTCCAATAAGTCCTTTAGCAGTATTGTGACTCTTATAGGTAGAGTATGTCTCACTTTGAGCTCTAAAACATGAAGGCTTCTGGATAAATAATTCTGTACAGTCAAGAATTATTCTGGTGAAAGGATACTCAACTCTAAAACTCTCAGGCATGGTTTTATCAATGGTTTCCCTTGAAGCCCATATATCCAACTGAATAAATCTTGTGTACATAAAATCAAGGTAAGTTGCAAAAATTCTAGAAACCTCTGAAACACTTATTCTGAACTGGTCAGCTAGCACTTTTTCAGCCATGTTTACTCTCAAGCGACTAAGTGTCAGAAATAGTTCATCAGCTGGAATTAGAGAGCGTTTCTTTCCACATTTATCTGTATCTTGAAACTGTAGAGATGAATTATTAGATCCCCAGAAATTAAGCCTTGAGATTGCACCACAGTCACTATCCAGAAATTCGTATAAAGCCTTGAAAAACTCGTAGTTTTCTAATCCTGTGTAATAGAGCATGTCTGAATCAGACATGCGGAATCGTTCGACTCCAAATCGTTCTATATCTATTCTTGCCAAAAGCTGCTTTCTCTCGAGATCTAAAGACATCAGTTTTTCCTCTAGCATTGCTATCTTCTCCTGTTCACTGACCTCGCAGTTAGAATCATCCATCTTGTTTGTAGTAAGCTTTATACTACATGAACTTTCTCTCGCATTTTCTTCGACGCTTGAGCTATCAATTGTGTGTCGATTCAGTTTTCTTCTTGGCTCTTTTTGTGCAGTGACATGAGACTTTGATAGCGGAAAGATAGTGGGCACATTAACACTGTATGTTTTTGCACCTCCTTCGAAGTGCTCAGAGCACACTCGAAAGCCAGAAATCTGCTCTTTCTTGGGCTTAAAACCTTGCCTGGAAATCTTGTGGAACCAAAGTTTTCGAAGTTCATTGTCCTTCGGGATCACATAAAACGACAGGCGACCTTTGTCTTTCTTAGAGTTGTTGAAACAACCAGGCACACAGCAAGAAAAGCCACCAACTATCTTCCTTTGAACATTAGCTTCCGCCATTTTGATTTATTTACTACGACTACCATAATTCCTTGCGCGCGTGACGTCATAATGCCAATCGGCTATTAGATGATGATGACGATGAGAATGATCGTAGTGAAAATAAGATGCAAGGCAAGTCTCATAAAGCTATTCCTACTATATCATTAACAGCTGGTAAGTAGGTTGTATGTACATATTTATTGGCTTATGGTTGATCATCAGTGTAATATTATTTATGCCAACTAGTTAGGTCACAATAGAAAGATCAAGCCGCCAATGGCGACGCAACTTGAAGATTGTTAGACAAGTATACCGGAAGTATACCTTGGACATAAATCTGTATGAAGCCTCAGACTTTGTTTAGATATGGTCTAATTTCAACAAAAAATCTATCAAATGAATACATTGACCTTGAAATTTTGAATTTAATGATTTAAATGCATCCGTAACACCTTTGACGATATCGACTTATCGCTTACGCTCGTGGTTTCACTGCAAAGTTTTGAGCATTTTTGACGTCAATTGCAATGTCAATAAGAGTATACAGACAATGGCAAACCCGCTGTTAATTATAAACACCATCACAATTTCTTAGTTTGAAGTGATGATACTTTCACTTTGAATGCTGACCGTTAAAATATATATTTTGAGTTCTTACCTGTTGTAGTGTTGTCCGTGCATCGATATTTTACGAAGGATAAAGTTTATATGAATCGATGAGCATTAAATACTGATCGACAAAGGATGGGAATAGTCCTTGAAATCATTATAATAGAATGCTGTATCTATGAGCCATATTGACACGATTGGTAAGAAGCTTATACAGAACGTCTAGACCTCAAAAAATCACATTTTGTGTGTTTAAAAAAAGCCATTTCTGTATCAGAAAACACCTGGCCATCTTGGTTACGGGTTTCTAAATGCCCGTATGTTTACAGAAAAAATAAGTGACCTATTAACTATTCCACCTCGCCTCACACACCATCATCTATCTCCGTCCTTTAAAAAGGAGTATTTGTCTTCAGCTATGTTGAGTTCAGGTGTGCAGCACAAGTTACATTACACTGGAAAACAACCTGGCTTACTTATACATTAACTGTGACATCACCAGGTGCTAATTTACATATTTTGAAAACTTTTAAAATCTCTGTAGCAGAAATAGATATTCTTATTCTTTTCAACAGTATTTTCCCTATTTGCTTTAATATGAGAAAGGCATTTCATTGGTAATAATGGTAATAAATGGATATATTTTTCGACAGATTCTTCTGATAGTGACAATGAATTTATAAATCAGCATTAGCAATTGATAAACCATCAGTGCAAAGCACCAGTAATAAGCTGTATGATTACTACATAGATGTGTGGGATGATGATGGCGAAGATGTAGATTTGTTGGCTGCTATCAATGCAAGCCTCCAAGATACCTACAACCATAGACCAGTGGCAAGTACATGCACTAGTGCATTGATCAATGCCCRTGAAATCATTCAAAGCTTCATTTCAGACAACTATAAAACTGAAGGGGACCTTGTCCATGTTATCATATTGCGCAAAAAAATCATGCAGTCGACTTTATTTACATTTGCACTCAGCGATCCTCAAGACTCCGACTATCAGAAAAAATGCAAGCACAAGCACGATACATTTTGTGTTGAATGTGAAGGCCTCAAAAATATTCTTCATGATGTAGAAGCTGAAATACACGCTCGCGCAAAACAGCTAGGCAAGGACAAGGTAGAAGATTTACAGTATGAAGCTAAGAT